GCATGCTTTTGAAACAATATGATTAAAACAGCACACTTCTTTACCAGCTCATAAAGGTTTTAATCTCTATAATGTCAGAGCATATATTTTAAGAACATATATTAACCATATTGAAGCAATTTCATGGTTGTCATAAAAAAGAAAGATTGAACACTATAGGCTGTTCTAAAGCAGTCATTTTCAAATTTAAATATGCATCAGTATGCTCGAAGGGTCTCCTAAGATTGCTGGAACCCATACCTAGAGTTTCTGATTTGGTTGGTGTGATGGCTTTTTGGTGTGTGAACTTGGTAGGCTACACTACAATCTTCATCATTCCTTCTTGTAGGTTTTTAGACAGAGTGGGCTACCAGAGGTAGCCTCCTAAAAGTTGGAAGAAAGAAGGAAAACAGCAGCCACTTCATACCATCCACAATCACGTTTTCCCAATGATTCAATCAAGTGCTGATAACAGTGCTGCTGTGAAAGGATCTGGCAGATATAATTAAAATCCTAGTTAGTTGACTTCAAATTAGGGAGATCATTTGGAGCCACTGCAGAAAGCCCCCACTTGGACAATGCTTAGTGGAGCCCTGGAGGGTGAGGCTGCCCCCAAGATGCCAGACCTGCAGAGCCACCAGTGTGCAACACTAGCCTGGAAGAGCTACAGAAATCTAACTCCAACCCTTGAGAGCTGCTGTATGGCTGGCACCCAGCAAAGAAATGATAGTGGGCTGCTCCAGGCCTTAGGGGACCAACATCCACCCCAGTGGGCCCAGAGAGTCACATACAGAGTCAAAGAAGATTTTTCTCAAGCCTCAAGATTTCATATGGTTTGCCCTACTGGGTTTTGAACTTGCTCAGGACCTATTACTACTTTCCTCTTGTTTATTTCTATGTTTTTTGAATTGGAATATCTATTTAATGTTTGTCCCAACATTGTATTTTGGAAGCATATAAGATGTTTGATTTCATAGGCTCACAGCTTAGAGAGCAATTTGCCTCAGGATGAATCATACTTTGAGTCTCACCCAAATCAGATTTAGATAATGTTTATATGAGACTTTGGACTTAGACTTAAAGTTGATGCTGGCACAAATTAACACTTTGAGGGCTATTGGAATGGAATAAATGTATTTTGTAAGTGAGAGACATGAATTTCAGAAGTGCAGGGATTGATATTCCCTCCAAAATTTATGGTGAAACTTAATTCCCATTGCAGTGGTGATATGTGGTGGGCTCTTTAATGAGGTGACTACATCATGATGGCTTTGCTCTCATGAATGGATTAATGCTTTATAAACGAGGCTTTGAAGAGTGTGGGCTGCTTTTTGTTCTTATGTTCCTCTGCCATGTGAAGACACAGCAAACAGGCTCTCACCAGACATATAACATCTTGGACTTAATCTTGGACTTCACAGCCTCCAGAACTCTGATGAAGAAATTTTTGTTTTTTATGAATTGAAGATAAATAAGTAAATAAAGAGGGAGATAGTCTTTGGTTGACCTGACCAGGTCAGTTGGAAGGCCTAAAAGAGCACTTCGAATTCACATCCTGAGGGAGGGAGGGAAAAAGAAAGGGAAGGGAGAGGAAGGTAGAAGAGGTGAAAGTAGGAGTGCAGAGAGGAAATGAGAGAAAAACAGAAGGGAGAGAGGGAGACTCGCACTATGGACAACAGCTTCATCTCATGGTCATGGGGATTTAGACTGCCAACTTCTTATAATAGATTCATCTCTCTCTCTCTCTAAACTACTGGTCTGGAATCACACTTTGTGAATCACTATACTAAAGGATTGAACATGAGCCAATGTGTATGAATTACCTAGGGAAAACTAGTAAACATAATGTATGATAGAGGTATCTAACAACCTGGAATTTTCAGTAATGAATAATCTGCCTTGTGTAGAAGTATAGTTTAGTTTTCTCTATTGCAAATGTTCAAGCTGAGTTTGGATAATAATAACAGACACGAAGTACTTACCATGTGCCTTGCAATCTTCACAACACACACACACACACACACACACACACACACACACACACACACCAAGTATATTTTATTATGGCAGGCAGAGACTATACATAATTTGCTCAAGGTTACAACAGAGGTGGTAAAACTTGGATGACAGTGACGATAGTCTGGCTGAAAGCCCATGTTCTCCTGAATAACAGCAATACTGCCAACATATATAGATGCTATCAGGTATAGAAGAAACAGCTGTCTAGAATAATTCTTGAGTTTTACTCTTTTATTCCCCACTCTCAGAATTGGCTCCTTTGATTATTTGTTTTTTAAATAGTCTTTGTTTTGTAAATATGAACACTATGCCCCCTGGTGACTTGGATAAATGTTCATATTTTAATTTTTTAATAACACAGATTGTATTTTTTTCTATCAGGGTATGACACAAGTGAATTTAGATCTCAGGTAATTTTTTCATATTGATATTTGTGTTTTTTCCAAAAACTTCAAAGTGTGCATACGGTTCTGTTTAAACAAGTCTCTATTACATGGTATATGTTTGCAGATTAAAGGTTACAGAAGAGAAAAGGTTTTCAGGCCCCAAAATGTTATGAGTGAACTATATCATCTTTATCATTAATCATCATCTGCTATGTCATGCTTTCTCTCCATCTGGTTGGGTATCAAGTATGATGCTGAAGAGTTTCAGTACATTAATTCCCAACTACTGACTACTGGTGGCAGGAAGATTAGGTTACTCTGTATTTATTTACTCTGTTAATTGTTCGACAGATCATTATTGACTACCATTCACAGAATGGCAGATGGCCAATAAAGTGTTAAATAACATATTCTATACTTTTGTGATCTCTTGATAGATCTTACATTAAAAAAAAATTTTAAAGAAGCATTCTTTCTTTAAGAGGATGAATGAATTATGATTTAAAATCAAGGTATGAATAATTTTAGTAAAAATGAAGCCTGATTTAAAATAGCGCAATGAAGACCAAATTAACCTTAAATGCTCACACAATTAAGGGTTGTTTTCAGGATCTTTTGAGCTTCTCTGATAATGAGTGTATTAGAAAAGTGTTCTAGTAATCAATATTATAACAGTAGAAGAGCGAACCTGGGAAAGAATCCAGAGGGAGTGGAATAGTCCATGGTGCAAATGCTTTTTGGGTAGAATAATGAAAGTGAGACAAGGTGAATTTTTGTTATTTTCCAGTGTTTTTATGAACATGAAATTTCAAAAGGGTCTGAGCTAGAGAAGTTTGATAATGGAACATGTTTAATTATTTGAACCTTTAAAATTTCAGAAAAAAAAGGAGTTTAAATTTCAAAAAGTTGCTGATTGAGAAACTTAAAAAATAAATTTAGGAAATATAATGTAGAATGATCTGAATACTGGGAAGCCAGTCCTAAGAAATGACAATCAATTTTATAAGGAATTCACAACTACATCTAGAATGTATTTCCCTCATTTCATCTTGTATCTGTCTTATTCACTGCTGCCTTACTATATTAACTTGAGTAATGCGAGCTGAGTTAATTAATAAATCTCAAAATTTCAGTGACAACACAAATGAAGTTTATTTCTTGCTAAGGTAACACTTCTGAAGCAAATGTTTCTAGTCTGAATGTGACTTTCTTCCAACTAAAAATTTAGAGATTCATTTTTTTTTTCCATCTTGCAATTCTCCCATTCTCTAACATTCCAGTGCCTTGTGTGCTCAGATCAAAGAAGGTGGAAAAAGGAGACAGTGAAGAAGGTATTCACGCTTCTTAACCTTCTCATATCAGAAGTGACATATGTTACTTTCACTTACATTCTGACAGCAAAAAATAATCATTTGGTCTCCCTTAAATGCAAGGGAGGCTGGCAAGTGTAGTTTCTGTCTGGGCAGCCATTTCCCAGCCACGACACTATTCTGTGGAGGAACGGCATACATTTTGCGGAATTGTTAACTCTCTCTGACAAATAATTTCATAGATGTTGTGTTTATATTCCTGAAATAGGTAGGTTAGGGTGACATTTAATTGGACTACCCTCTGGGAGAGAAAATGATCACCAGGGTGAGAGGTCATCAGTGATAATTATGGAGTTTTCTCTCTTGTATAAATGGCAACAGGTAGAAGCAGGTGCCAGCTGCCTTCCAGCTTCATCACACTTTAAGTCTCCTCTTTCCCTCAGCTTCCTATGTCTGACAAATGTTTCCTGAAGTCTAATTATCAAATTACGAAGTTCATGAGGATGACATACAACTGCATGGAATACTTTCTATTTCAGAACCCAAAATACTCATCCATTCCATGAAGCTTATTTAGACTGAGTCAATTACTCATCTAATATTTCCTTATATTTAGCTTCTGAAATACCTCCTCAGAATGGCATCTTCCTGATTTCTGATGGAGATATAATTAGCAGTGCCCTCTCTAAATTATCCTTAAGACTTTTATTTGCCTTCTAATTCTTTCCCCCATTACAGTCTATCCATCAAACATATCAACAAATATATCATCAAACATCTACTTACTGCATAGAAAAGTCTTAAAGAGGTCTTGCTGTGAATTAAGTTGATGTTTGAGATATTTGCTATGTTAAAATATATCAAATGCTTATGGGTCCAAATGATAATACTGGGATCAATGGGTGGAGATTAGAGAGAAGTAGATTTTAGTGCAATATGAGCAGACATTTATAGAGAGTCAATGAGGTATAATGGGAAGTACACTGAACTTGGAATGCAAACACTTTGGTTTGTATCTCCACAACAACATGATGTTGTAGTGACTGTGTGGTATCAGACAGATCAACTGCCCTCTTTAAATCTTAATTTCCTGACACATAAAATGAGGATTATTAAAAACTATTTTCTACTATACCATTCATATGACTATCAAAAGTAATGTCAATGAGACCCTTTTCTAAACTGTAAAGTGCTATTTAAATGTGAAATTATCACCTATTAGAAGTGTACCTTAATGGAACAAGGTTTCTCACCATGTAATAGATTCTCTTTCACTTGAGTCACAATGGCTATTCACACTGGGTCTTCTGTATTAGCTGGAGGTTAGGTTGAGTGCTCTCAAGGGTCTCCTCAAACTGGGAGACCATCTAGTTTTATTCACATGAAACTCTTCATTTTGCAGGTAAGGAAGTCAGAGAGGTAAGGTAACTTACCCAAATGTAATTGCTAGAGCCAGAACTCTCTAGTCACAAATTATATCATATTTTTTTCAGGAATTATGTGTGCTTTATCTTAGGTTTAACATAGGTTTATCTTGGCCTCCTTTAGCCCTCTGTCATCTTGTTTTGATTGCTGTTTTCTTGCGTACTGACCCATGAGCACATGCTTTTGACTTCATACACAATAATTCCTCCACACTTTGAAGTGATCTAAGTAATGTATCTATCAATATCCTGATGGCTCAACTGGTTTTTAGAAGAGATAAATCACTCAAATGGCTGTTTCACTTGATACTCAAATTCAGTATGTGTTCTAAGCTTAAGTTAAACTTGGTATGGTCATCTCAGAATTGAACTAGCACTGATACAGTAAATGACAGTACTAGCTATACTAAAGACTAAAACATTAGAGAATGATTTTACAATGATCCACAATGTCTGACTATATAAATTGAAATAAAGAAAAATGTCATTACCCCTGTAGCATCTATAAATATTAATATATTTAAATTTTTAAAGACTGGTTTTTCCTAGAGTTGAAGGAAACATTTTTTCAGTGAAATAAGCATTCAGCAGATATTTACTTTGACTGGTTTCTACTATGTAAAATAATTGAAGAGAAGATGGGTTTTGCACTCAAATTTAGCAGTCTAATATGATGGTAGTGAAATGGGAGAGCGAAAAATAGACTTAATCAATTACCAATGAAGTAGTCTCTAAGTTTGTCTCAATCAATATATATCTTAGCATGAGTCAAGTTACTTCATTTTAAAAATCTGCCTCAGAGAAATGAAATTACGTGATTTTCTTTAGTATTTCTTGGTCATCTTCACTGAGATTATCAAATCTATTAAATTGGAAATATATTTTTTTCTCTGCAATCTCACCATTAAAATGCTGTCGTTCTCAACTCCCAATTTGAAAAAAAAATTTCATATTTTTCTAAATTTAGAGAGGAGAATATTATGGAATTTTAATAGAACAAAAGGGCAAAAATATACAGTGAAATTATAATGTACTGATCTGTTTTACCAACAAACCATACTTGGTAAATTTGAGACAAAATATAGTTTAAAATGCTATTTATTGCATATTAGAAAAAGTATTTTATGTCTGGAGTCTTTATAGCACTCTGTTTACTATTCCACTGAACAGTTTATCTGGGCTTTGGAAAATTCAGGGAAAGACTGTTGATAGACTCATGTATCAATACTAGGCAGCCATTTTAACTGGTTTATTACATTTCTAACAGTTGTGATTAACAAGTATATAAAAGATATTTCTCTTTACCACTTTTATAACAGGATTATGTTTCTTAAAGCTGCAGCTTTATTATAGTCACATGCTTGAAAATAACTTCATGAAATCTCAGCATTTTCTCCATCCATTGATGGTTTAGCATGGATTGTGGTTCTTAAATATTAGTTATTATTATCCCAGAAATAGGTGAGCTGAGTTAGATCTATGTAACAAGTCACAAGAGACTACTTTTGTTCTCCTTTTCTTGAGTCTTTCCTCAATATATTGCATGCTACATAAGGAATTTGCTGTTCTCATAGAGAAATTTTAACTTTTAAAATATTCTCCTTTTGTTCTTTAAAGTGCAAATGTTGGCTGTCACAAAACAAAGCAGTTTATCACTTTCTCTCAGAGAAAATATTCCTGTTTATCTGCACAGAGATGGGATTAATGACCAGTACTTTTGAGTTTTTCCGACTTAGGCTGCCTGATGCCCACAATAGCTGAAGTGCTCAGGTTCTTGCAGCCAATATGTAGAATTTTTATCAGATTCTGAATTGAAGAAATTTTGCTTCTCCAGTTTTTCATATAGAATATTTGAAAATTATTGTTGGAATTATCTTTTGAATATTGTACTCATATTGCAAATGGGATGCCAGACTTTAGATACACAAATAAAATGTAATTCTTAATTTTAAGGCAATTAAAATCAGAGAGATACAAACATATTACTATTTATTTGTAGTGTTTTATTTACTATAGTGTCACATTATATCCTCAATAACTTAATTACACAGATGGAGAGCATCATATCATGAGTTAGGTGAGATGGAAAATTGCAGTTAAAAGTTGCAGTTTCAGCCAGGCACAGTGGCTCACACCTGTAATCACAGCACTTTGGGAAGCCAAGGCAGGCCAACATGGTAAAACGTATCTCTACTATAAGTGCAAAAATTAGCCAGGCATGGTGGTGCATGCCTGTAATCCCAGCTACTCAGGAGGCTGAGGCAGGAAAATTCACTTCGACTCAGGAATTGGAGGTTGCAGTGAGCTGAGATGGTGCTACTGCACTCCAGCCTGAGAGACAAAATGAGACTTGGTCTCAAAAAAAAAAGTTACAGTTAAAAGAATAGGTTGAATTTGAAAGCAATGAGAATGGAGAGAAAGAGGGAAAGAGAATGAAGAGATAGAAAGGGTCATTTTAATCTAAATATATAGGAATCCAGGCAACATACAGATTATAATAAGATTTATGGAAAACTGGGTTGCAAGCTTAGCAAGCCAGATAGCAGAAGCAAACAGTAATAGGTGTCTAAATAGTTTTCTTATAAGTTTTAAAAGCCAAAATTCTAAAATCTATGAGAAAGCATTTGATGGTCTCACTCTCCAAGTTTACTTGAAAGCATTGGAAGGTCTCACTCTCACTACCCAATCTATAGGGACACTATCCTTTTCCTGAACTCTGGCAGCTATATTAGTATTATATATTTAATTTATTTATTATTTATACATGTACTTCCTTGTCACATCTTAAAAATTCCTTTGATTGTCTTAAACTGCAAATTAAGATTTATTGCTTTACTTTTCACATACATAAACTCTTTGAGGTCAGGGTTTAAGTATAATAATAAAATGCCCTATATTGTATACATGTCTCACACATAGTCATTATTTAATAGTTCTTTATTTGTTAAACTACATACTTTGTTTGGATATCTGTTTTGATTTATTATCCCCAAGTAATCTTGAATTTTGTTCCCTCCAAAAAGAGACATGGGTTCTAACACCCAGTATTTCAGCATATGGCCTTATTTGCAGACAGTCTTTAAAGGGGTTGAACAAATTAAAATGAAGCCATTAGGGTGGGTCCTAATCCAATATGACCAATATTCTCATCAAAAGAAGAAATGTAGCTATATCAAGGGAAGATGGAAGAAGATGACCATCTACCAGCCAGTGTCTCATAGAGCGCATTCTTCCCAGCAGCCCTCAAAAGGAACCAATCCTAATGACACCTTGATTTCATATGCCAGCCTCCATATTTACTAGAAAATAAATTTCTATTGTTGAAGCCACCCAGTTTGTGGAGATTTTTATGGCAACAGCCCTAGTAAACTAATACATCCTATAAAATGACTTCAGAATCCTGTTGAAATCTTTCAACCATACATTTCTTTAAAAAGTCACTTAGGACTTAAAGTCTGTCAAATCCCCTCAATTATCGATCTCACTAAATAATTGCTCAATCTCTGCTTCTATTGGCATTAGAAGACCTGACCTTACTGATACATAGGAAAAGTATCACCATGTACTTTACCATTTCAAATGGAGCTCACGCTTATGAAAGAAGTTTTATAAAAACCCTCAAAGGTTATTTGTCAAATTGCCAGTTGTCAATCATCTCTCAATTACCCAAGTATGAATTATTCACAACTGGTTTAATCTCAGGCTGATTTCCCTTTTTCCTCCAAGCACACATCTGATTTCAATCTCTGTTCCAGCAATTGATATGTGTTTAGGGAATGCAGACTAATGTTAATATTAGCCTGAACAAACACTTAAAAGGCTAAGTCTGTGTCAAAAATAAATTAATTCATTCCCCAAAACAAACATGTATCATCTTTGCATTATCAGATGTTTTGGATTATTTAATACCACGGCTCATTTCCTTGATAATAAAGAGTCTAATAAGACCTATGCTTACACTGTTTATAACTTTAGGTTATAAATCCTTAATCATAAGTGAGGTAACTTTTATTTAAGTTTTCTGTAGTGTTCAGGACAGTCTTACAGTGCCTGCTAATATGGGCTGACAATATGATATGGTTTGGCTGTGTCCCCTTCCAAATCTCATCTTAAACTGTAGTTCCCATAATCTCCACATCATGGGAGGGAGCTGATGGGAGGTCACTGAATCGGAAGCAGACAGTGCAGGTCAACAAATAAGAGAAACAGGTGAGGTTTCCAGGCTCTGATTGGTTTCTTCCAGATACCCTCTTGTAATTCTGGCCTTGAGTGTTGTGAAGCCTGGTTATGGCTGTGTTTCCCACAACTAACAAAAAAATCTGGCCAAATCCCACCCCTGGCTTTTTTTTTTTTTTTTTTTTTAACAAATGAGACTAATGGAGTCCAGGAAAGCTAAGTTGTGGGTCCACATTCACAAGTAATTTGTATCAGGACTAGAAAAAAGGAACATAACTCCAAATTCCCAGGCAAGAATTTGTTTTGAGATAACTGTTCAATGCATTTCTCAATCCTTGAAAATAGCCTAATAACCAGTAAATTTACCTCTTGCTAAAATAACTGTCATGTACAGGATGGCTATATAGTATGCCTTATTTGCATTCTAGGTCCTTGAGATATAGCAATGGACAAAACAGATGAGGTCCTTGATCTTATGAAGCTTATATTGTGAAAATTATACTCTATCATCCAGATGGTTGAGATTCTTTAAATTTTCCTATAAGCATGGGTACATTTGCACAAACGCATGTCTTTTGCTGAGTCCTCCTTGAGACAAAGTTTATGAATATGCAAAATGGCTGAATGCAGCCACAGGTACAGTTTGTTCCCCATGGAATGCTGAGAAGCCAGCTGGTCCCCAGGATACAACAGGAAAGGGAAATACAACATAAGGCATTGTAAGGCATATTTATACAGTTTGTGCCCCATGGCTCAGTCCTGTCCAATATGTCAGCAAACTGAGAAAGCTTAAGGTATTTTAGCTCTTCAGAGAAAATGGTGGTTGTAAATATATACTAAGCTTCTTGCACTTTTTTTTTTTTTTTTTAACTTTGGTCATGAGTCTGTCACTAATTGCTGTATGCCTCCTGGCATCAATCAACTGACATTTATGCTCTAGTCTTTAGGATTCTCAGTATTTCAAAATTGTAAAAGCTACATTTGCAAGCACAATCATTTTAACTCCTTAACCTCATGTTTAAGATCTTCCATGGTCTGGCTACAGGGTTTCTCATATGTATTAAAATAATTTGGTAACCGGTAATCAAAATAATGAATTATTTCACTGTTTTCCTCCAACTTCACAAACCCAGGTCAAACCAAAATATTTACTCCTTCTGCATATCACCACCACCACTTATCCCTGTGGTTCCTTTGATTCTTCAATTCAATATCCTGAGAGTATCTACCTCCTATCTCTAAGCTGTGACAGCCTCTTTACCAGCTGTTGCTCTTCTTAACTTCACTGATGATAGAACTTGTTTAAAGAAGCTGAATAATTCAGACATGTTTACCTTTCATTAGTTATCACTACAGTACATAGCATACATAGTATATGTCACATAGAATGTGATCCTATCCTGACCAATTGGCTATGAAGAGAAATTGGCTAAGAAAGAATTTTCCTTCATGATAAAATCAAAATGTACAAAGAAAGCCCCTTCCTTCCTGTTTTGTCTGTAGAAAATTACAGTGAGCTGTGAATTTGCTGAAGTCAACTTGCCACCCTGACTGGGAGGTTGAAACCATCTCTGGGAAACCCAATCAGAGTCCCACCATTATTTGGCTACTTGACCGATCCAAGATCCAGGTGCTACCTGTGTCCATACCTCTTGTTACAAAGGGAAAATGAATCTTCGTTCTAAAACCACTTCCAACTGAGTGTTTTGGCACTTGCACCAAACCCAAGTGTACCTTTTGGTTTAGCCTCTCTATATCCTGTATTAAAGTTATTTCCTAATAACTTACATTTATATTGTACATTATAAATTACTAAAGTGTTGTTCACCCATGGTTAAAGAAAAAGAACAACCTGAAGCTAGAAGCTGTGTACTGTTTGAAGGCACACAGGTGACAAAGAGCAAGGTTGACTTTAAGCTCATAGCATCCTTGAGGTATGGCTTCTCTTGAATAATTAGCCAGATGCTGGAGATTTTTACCAATCCTATATTTTCATGAGTTCCTCTTTTACAATTAGCATTCCTGCCGAAAGCTATATTTATGTGAATATTTGTTAATCAGTGACTTTATAATTTGTATTATAGCTATGCCTGGCCATGGCTTCTCTGTGGAGGTAATTCTATAAATAGCCAACACATTAACACAGTTCAGTATTCCTCAGAAACATAAGAAGCAGGATAGCTTAGTAGTTATACCTATTATGTAGTAGTTGCGAGTTAAAAGTGTTGGATTCAGACCCTGCTCACTATGATTCGCTGTGGGCCAAAGAAAAGGTAATGGTAGAAGATATGTTTAAATCAATCAGCTGTTTCTTTCTCTAAAACCCACTATAATACCCTATTGCTTCTATTTTTTTCAGAAAATCTTTAAGAATAGGTGTTTTTCTAACCCCAGAATCTAGCACACATGGCACAGTATGTTAGTTATAGTTGATACACAAAATGTGTTCAAATGAATGAAATTTGAAAAGTAAAAGTCACCCAACCTTTCTTTTACTGAGATTAGTACTTTATAATGCAAGTTTCCTCAAGAGAATATACAAAGGCAAATAATAAATACTGAGTTCTTTATGATTAGTAATCCAGCCCTTTCATAATTCTTACCCCTGTCTCCCGAAATCACAGGAATTATGTTGGTTAAGGTAAAATATCTTTTACAGCCCCCAAAATGTTATAGAATAAGAGCTTCAATTGGGTTTTTAGTAATATAAAAATGCATAATTGCCTGCAGCATAATTTCTTTCAGGTCTTAATCCCGTGGGCTCAATCTAAGGGGTTTTGTTACTTTGTTTTTGTTTTTGTGTTTTTGCTGTCTTAACCTGTTAAAGTTCATCTTAGTAGGTTTCTTTGCTCTATCTTCTCATATGCTTCTGTGTATATGTGGCCACAGTTACTTTCAGAGTCTTATTTGCTCAACAAGACATAAGAATCCAGTTCTTTCAAGAAAAAAGCAAATTAAAATGTTATTAAAGCATGTATTGCCCCTTGACAAGCCCCTCTGGATCCATTTGAGCTTATGACCATGGGAGTCTTCAGGAAGGGTTTTATTTCACAAACCCCTGAGCTCTTCCAAGCCACATGCTGTTTGATAATTAGGGACAATATTATCTGTAATAGAAACCCAGTACAGAAGAAAACAGTGAAAGAGACTAATATAGACAACCAGCTGTTGTTTTTCTGCCACTGTACTGGTTGACTTAAACTACGTTGCTGTCCAAATTTATTTTGAGCCAAAACTCTTTTACTCTGCCAGTAATGCAATAGAAAGCAGAATATTCTGCCATCCAGGCTATACTGCCATAATAGCCAACATCTGTGTGGTCTTTGCAATTTACAATGTACTTTTACATCATTTGTCTTATTTAAATTTCACAATATCCTTGTGAACTTGGAAAATGTGACTTCCTTTTGGAGGTGAAACAGATATACAGACTATGTGATTATTCCAGGGTCTAATGGCAAACCTAGAGCTATCTGGCTTCTACTTCCTTCTTCATTGTCATCCTCATTATTGTCTATGCTTCAGGATTGGGTACCTGTAGAAATTTCGGGTGGATTTTCCTTATTTTCTTATGTGAGCAGTGCTGGAGTTTCTACCTTTGCCTGTAGCAGAGTTCTCTGAATAATATCTAGTGCTTCTCCTGTAACAACCTTTGACTGAAGACCATTGGTCCTTCGACCCATTGGACATGGGGTCAGCCCAAGTTAATTGGCAATTCCAAACCACCAGTTCTCTGTTGAGCTAATAGGAACAAAAGGATCTTATAGAACTAATCCCTAAGAGATAGTTCAAAACAAGGCAACATGGCTATTTTAGAAATTTCTCCTTTGGTAACTGCCTTATCACCACACAGTTCAGTAGCTTTAAATTTGGAGATTATAAAAGATGAAGTTTTACCAACTGAAAACGGATCTAGAAAATTTTTAGAAATCACCTCTCTAATAGTTTACTTAGGAAAGTCTTCAGTTTTATTAATCTTTGTGTTGCCTTTGAAGCCAAACCTGCTGGTGTTGCAGATCCTCTTCCTGGCAGCTGGAACATGTATTTATAATCATTACTTCCATTCCTTAAAGGCTTTGGACTTTATTGATTGCTTTACCTTAGTTAATACTCACCTGGCCTCCCTGAGTTGTCCTTTAGGACATTGACAAACAATTTTAGCATGATTGTCTTTCATATAACATGTTCAAAAATGAAGAATATGTGATTATTTTAGTGAAAATATGAGTGCTGGTATTTTTAGCGAAAATATGAGTGCTGGTATTTTTAGCATTTCCGATGCTTCCTTTATGTTCATAAGGAGTATAGAGATTGCTGTTTTTACAGTTACCTTCCATCACCTCTTAAAAAGGCAGAGACAAGTATTATAGGCAATACTGAAAAATATATTTCAAAGTAAATATTTTTCCTTAATTATATCTCTGTTGTTTCTTCTCTAGATTTCCTTCCTTTCTTTCTTGTTTTCTATCTTTCTCCCTCTAGTTCTTCCTGGTATTGTCTCTATGCTGTACAAAAATCCAAAATGTGAGGCATCAATTTCAGAGAAAACATGGTTCAATTAAAAATCTATGTTCCCAGTTCAAATTAAGTTTATAAACCAAAGTGTGGCAGAAATGATCTAAAAACCAAGAATATTTATCTTACAATCAATATATGTACTTCATTAATACTTCACAAATCTAGGGTCTTTTTTAAACCAGTTTTTTTTTTCCACAGGAATTTCTTAAGCTTGGAATGTATGCTTCGGAAGAAATTATAAAAGGCTACTAAAGATACTCAGGACAGCTGTAAAAGGAAGGCCTCAGTTGGTAAAATCAAAGTAAAATAATGAGTGTAGAATCAGTCTCATGTATGTTGCTGCTGGAGATACAGTCACAATAATCTTCTCTCAATTTCTGGAACATGCCTAGGATGTTCTCATTTGTCAAGCCTTACTACTTTCTAGCCTTATACCTGCTATTTTCTTTTCTGCTCTGTTTGTGTAAATTACTGTTTCTCAAACATCAAGGCTCAACTCAAATATCTCCTCAGAGAAACCTTTGTTTGGTCACTCTAATGTAGATATCTTTGCTATTCTCCCATATTTCATATTTTTTCATTATAATTGTTTTCATTTTTACTTGATTTTGTCTTACCCAATGATGGGATTCAGAAACTAATATCCCCAAATATGGTGCTTTGGCAGGTGCTTTGACATGCTGAACTGAAGAAGCCTCAGGTTCTCTCAGACCTCCTCTCAGCCCTCCTCCCTCCCAGACCACAGCATGAAGATGTTCTCAGAAGTTCCCTTATCTGCCTAAAGCCTCTACCCACCAAAAAAGAAAGCAATTACCCCTGGTCCCTTCTCTCAGTTTTCACTGCCTGCGTACTGCAGGAAGAGAGACTGAAGTCCATCAACGCACCTGGACAGACTTTGTCACAGACCACTGTCTGCTCTGCAAATCCACAGATTTTGTGCCAAGGCATTGTATGTTCTGCAAGTCCACTGAATTTTCTGAAGAATAATTTACTGCCCCCGCCCTCAGAAATCATCCACACCTCCCATCTCCTTTTCCCCTAAGAAGGAGGTATAGCCATCTGTATCCTGTTGTGGTAGGGTAATTACTCTGTGATCCTCCTCTGTGTACATTAACATTTGCATGCCTTTTCTCCCAGTAATCTGCCTTTGTCAGCTGAATTTTAGAAACCTTCAAAGAGTGAAGAAAGGTTTTTCCTTGGCCCCTACACCCTCAAAATGCAATTTTCATGAGGCTAGAGATGTTGTTTATATTGTTTCCATTTTATTCCAGCAACCAAGTGGAAATAAGCACATAGCAAGAACCCAATAAATATTTGCTGAACAAATGAATGAAGTATTTCCTCACGGTTATTCTGAATTATTGCATTGCTGGTAGGGAGTTGGGCTGGGGAATACAAAGAGATGTAAAATGCTGGAGCTGTTCACATATCTGCTTTAAACTTGGGAGGTTTTTAAAAAATAAAATTAAAAAATTTTATGTTTTGCTTAAACATCACTTTATTGGGTTTTGCTTAACAATTGGTTTAATTTTTGGTATTGTTGGTCTATTGAGGTATAATTAACCAATAATAAATAGTTTGATATGTCAAGTGTATAAATTGAAAAGTTTTTCTGTCACTAAAGATTAGGTTTCTTTTCTGACATTTTATATGAATTAAATTATTGAGTATGTAGTTGTTTGGGGCATTACTTTTTACCCTCAATGTAATTATTTTTTAATCCATTTATGTTATTGCATGTGTCAATAGTTTACTCAGGTGTGCTGCTGAGTTACATCCAGATTTATGAATATTTCACAATTAATTTATCCATTCACTGTTGATGGGTTTTTGGGTTCCAGATGAAATTATGGCAAATAAAATTGCTACAAACATTCATCTACATGTTTTCACATGAACACGCTTATATGTACATTGAATAAAAACCTATCAGCATAATGGCTAAGTCAGATGTGAGACATATGTTTAAATTTTTAAGAAACTGAGAAATCATTTTCCAAGCAGTTCTACCAGTTTACTTTCCCATCAACGTGGTATGAGAATTCCAATTCTTTTTTTTTTTTTTTTAGTTGCATTTTAGGTTTTGGGGTACATGTGTGGAACATACAAGACATTTGCATAGGTACACACATGGCAGTGTGTTTTGCTGCCTTCCTCCCCTTCACCCACATTTGGCATTTCTCCCCAGGCTATCCCTCCCTAGCTCCCCCCTGCCACTGTCCCTCCCCTATTCCTCCCAATAGACCCCAGTGTTTGGTACTCCCTTCCCTGTGTCCATGTGTTCTCATTTTTCATCACCTGCCTATGAGTGAGAATATGCGGTATTTCATTTTCTGTTCTGTGTCAGTTTGCTGAGAATGATGTTCTACAGATTCATCCATGTCCCTACAAATGACACAAACTCATCATTTCTGATTGCTGCATAATATTCCATGGTGTATATGTGCCACATTTTCCCAATCCAGTCTATCATTGATGGGCATTTGGGTTGGTTCCAGGTCTTTGCTATTGTAAACAGTGCTGCAATGAACATTCGTGTGCATGTGTCCTTATAGCAGAACGATTTATAGTCCTTTGGATATATACCCAGTAATGGGATTGCTGGGTCAATTGGAATTTCTATTTCTAAGGCCTTGAGGAATCGCCACACTGTCTTCCACAATGGCTGAACTAGTTTACACTCCCACCAACAGTGTAAAAGTGTTTCTATTTCTCCACATCCTCTCCAGCATCTGTTGTCTCCAGATTTTTTAATGATTGCCATTTGAACTGGCGTGAGATGGTATCTCAATGTGGTTTTGATTTGCATCTCTCTAATGACCAGTGATGATGAGCATTTTTTCATATGTTTGTTGGCTTCATGTATGTCTTCTTTTGTAAAGTGTCTGTTCATATCCTTTGCCCATTTTTGAATGGGCTTGTTTTTTTTCCTGTAAGTCTGTTTGAGTTTTTTTAAATTCTGGATATCAGCCCTTTGTCAGATGGGTAAACTGCAAAAAATTTTTACCATTCTGTTGGTTGCCAATTCACTCTAGTGACTGTTTCTTTTGCTGTGCAGAAGTTGTGAAGTTTGGTTAGGTCCCATTTGTCTATTTTGGCTTTTGTTGCCAATGCTTTTGGTGTTTTGTTCATGAAGTCCTTGCCTATTCCTATGTCCTGGATGGTTTTGCCTAGATTTTCTTCTAGGGTTTTTATGGTGCCAGGTCTTATGTTTAAGTCTTTAATCCATCTGGAGTTAATTTTAGTGTAAGGTGTCTGGAAGGGGTCCAGTTTCTGCTTTCTGCACATGGCTAGCCAGTTTTCCCAACACCATTTATTAAACAGGTACTCTTTTTCCCATTGCTTGTTTTTGTCAGGTTTATCAAAGATTGTATGGTTGTAGATATGTTGTGTTGCCTCCGATGCCTCTGTTTTGTTCCATTGGTCTATATCTCTGTTTTGGTAGCAGTACCATGGTGTTTTGATTACTGTAGCCTTGTAGTATAGTTTGAAATCCGGTAGTGTGATGTGCCCCGCTGTATTCTTTTTGCTTGGAATTGACTTGGCTATGCGGGCCCTTTTTTGGTTCCATATGAAGTTCATGGTGGTTTTTTCCAGTTCTGTGACGAAAGTCAATGGTAGCTTGATGGGGATAGCGTTGATTCTGTAAATTACTTTGGGCAGTATAGCCATTTTCACGATATTAATTCTTCCTAACCATGAACATGGAATGCTTCGCCATCTGTTTGTGTCCTCTATTATTTCATTGAGCAGTGGTTTGTAGTTTTCCTTGAAGATGTCCCTTAAGTTTCTTGTGAGTTGTATTCCTAGGTATTTTGTTCTTTTTGTAGCAATTGTGAATGGCAGTTCGTTCTTGATTTGGGTTTCTTTAAGTCTGTTATTGGTGTAGACGAATGCTTGTGATTTTTGCACGTTGATTTTATATCCTGAGACTTTGTTGAAGTTGCTTATCAGTTTCAGGAGTTTTTGGGCTGAGGCGATGGGGTCTTCTAGGTATACTATCACGTTGTCTGCAAATAGAGAAAATTTGGCTTCCACCTTTCCTATTTAAATACCCTTTATTTCTTTTTCTTGCCTGATTGCTCTGGCTAGAACTCCCAGTACTATATTGAATAGGAGTGGTGAGAGAGGGCATCCTTGTCTAGTGCTGGATTTCAAAGGGAATGCTTCCAGTTTTTGCCCATTCAGTATGATATTGGCTGTTGGTTTGTCATAAATCGCTTTTATTACTTTGAGATACGTTCCATCGATACCGAGTTTATTGAGGGTTTTTAGCATAAAGGGCTGTTGAATTTTGTCAAATGCCTTCTCTGCATCAATTGAGATAATCATGTGGTTTTTGTTTTTGGTTCTGTTTATGTGGTGAATTACGTTTATAGACTTGCGTATGTTGAACCAGCCTTGCATCCCTGGGATGAATCCTACTTGATCATGATGGATAAGCTTTTTGATGTGCTATTGCAATCGGTTTGCCAGTATTTTATTGAAGATTTTTGCGTCTATGTTCATCATGGATATTGGCCTGAAGTTTTCTTTTCTAGTTCAGTCTCTGCTGGGTTTTGGTAACAAGATAATGTTGGTCTCATAAAATGATTTGGGAAGGATTCTCTCTTTTTGGATTATTTGGAATAGTTTCAGAAGGAATGGTACCAGCTCCTCTTTGTGTGTCTGGTAGAATTCAGCTGTGAACCCATCTGGACCTGAGCTTTTTTGTGTGGTAGGCTCTTAATTGCTGCCTCGACTTCAGACCTTGTTATTGGTCTATTCATAGTTTCGGCTTCCTCCTGGTTTAGGCTTGGGAGGACACAAGTGTCCAGGAATTTATCCATTTCTTCCAGGTTTACTAGTTTATGTGCATAGAGTTGTTTGTAATATTCTCTGATGATGGTTTGAATTTCTGTGGAATCCGTGGTGATTTCCCCTTTACCGTTTTTTATTGCATCTATTTGGTTGTTCTCTCTTTTCGTTTTTATCAGTCTGGCTAGTGGTCTGCCTATTGTTGATCTTTTCAAAAAACCAGCTCTTGGATTTATTGATTTTTTGAAGGGTTTTTCGTGTCTCTATCTCCTTCAGTTCAGCTCTGATCTTAGTTATTTCTTGTCTTCTGCTAGGTTTTGAGGTTTTTTGATCTTGCTCCTCTAGCTCTTTCAATTTTGGATCTCTCCACTCTTCTCATATGGGCACTTATTGCTATATATTTTCCTCTAGAGACTGTTTTAAATGTGTGCCAGAGATTCTGCTATGTTGTGTCTTCGTTCTTGTTGGTTTTGAAGAACTTCTTTATTTCTGCCTTCATTTCATTGTTTATCCAGTCAACATTCAAGAGCCAATTGTTCAGTTTCCATGAATCTGTGTGGTTCTGGGTTAGTTTCTGAATTCTGAGTTCTAACTTGATTGTACTATGGTCTGAGAGACTGTTTTGATTTCAGTTGTTTTGCATTTGCTGAGGAGTGATTTACTTCCAATTATGTGGTCTATTTTAGAGTAGGTGTGATGTGGTGCTGAGAAGAATGTATATTTTGTGGATTTGGGGTGGAGAGTTCTGTAAATGTCTATCAGGTTTGCTTGTTTCAGGTATGAGTTCAAGTCCTGGATATCCTTGTAAATTTTCTGTCTGATTGATCTGTCTAATATTGACAGTGGAGTGTTAAAGTCTTCCACAATTATTGTGTGAGAGTCTATGTCTCTCTGTAAGTCATTAAGAACTTGCCTTATATATTTGGGTGCTCCTGTATTGGGTCCATATATATTTAGGATCGTTAGCTCTTCTTGTTGTACCGATCCTTTTACCATTATGTAATGACTTTCCTTATCTCTTTTGATCTTTGTTGCTTTAGTCTATTTTATCAGAGATGAGAATTGCAACTCCTGCTTTTTTTTGCTCTCCATTTGCTTGGTAAATCTTCCTCCATCCCTTTATTTTGAGCCTTTGTGTATCCTTGCATGTGAGATGGGTTTCCTGGATACAGCACACTGATGGGTTTTGGTTTTTTATCCAATTTGCCAGTTTGTGTCTTTTGATTGGTGCATTTAGCCCATTTATATTTAGGGTTAATATTGTTGTATATGAATTTGATACTGCCATTTTGATGCTAAGTGGCTGTTTTGCCCATTAGTTGATGTAGATTCTTCATTTTGTTGATGCTCTTTAGCATTTAGTGTGTTTTTGGAATGGCTGGTACTGGTTGTTCCTTTCTATGTGTAGTGACTCTTTCAGGAGCTCTTGTAAAGCAGGCCTGGTGGTGACAAAATCTCTGAGTACTTGCTTGTTCACAAAGGATTTTATTTTTCCTTCACTTCTGAAGCTCAGTTTGCTGGATATGAAATTCTGGGTTGAAAATTCTTTTCTTTAAGGATGTTGAATATCGGCCCCCACTCTCTTCTGGCTTGTAGTGTTTCTGCCGAGAGATCTGCTGTGAGTCTGATGGGCT